ACTAAACTGCCAAATGCCCGCAATCTGACAGAACTGGTCTTTTGTCTGCCCTCTTAATTATAAGGGATATAGTTAAAAAAAACACATATAAAAGATAAAAATAATAAATGAAACAAAGATTTCTGGCTGGTAAATTCACTTTTTGTAAATAATCCTTCAATAACTGAATGAAGCTTTCATAAAAGATAGTGCTACTGTATGAAGGGCAACCAGGAGTATACCGTTTCACATTGTTGCCTTTTGGATGAAAACTCTTGTTTACCTGCTTCTAGAGCTGGAAATTAATCAATCCCTTGGCTCACGATGCTGAATTACAGCTGCAATAACAGTAGAACAAGCTTGCAGTGAATTCCACAGGCGCCTTAAACACACATTACAAAACTTTACTTCCCTTCAAAGGTTGTTTACACCCGTTTTACAGTAGATTAGTGTGATATACAGCCAAAAAGAGAAGGACATTGAGCTCCCGTGTATTAGGCGCTACGTTTCATGTGTAAAGCACCTGATCACATCATAATATGATTCTGATATTTGCTGTACTTTGCAAAGTCATCTGTGCAAGGGGAGCATCTGCCTGGTCCAGCCTAAGATTCAGCACCAGTGAAGGTGGACAGGGCTCATGATGTGACAACAATTCATTGTATCTCAGTTACCCAATTATGAAGCACAAAATTAACACAGTTTTTACCAAATGAATGCACTATAGCTGTTATGGGTTTCTGAGTTTTCTTTCAAGGGTTATTAAACCTTCATTTGTTTTTGCATATATCTACTGCTAGCAAGTGTCTCCGTCGCGCACTCCCGTCCGAACATCTGAAAAATTCTTGCGCGGCCGCAAAGGATCTTGGGGCGGGCGCATGCACAGTTCAGATCTTCGGGCGGGAGACGAGGAGACACACAAGGAAAGTCTATGGAGCAGCGTGCACCCACACAGACTCCATGGGACATGAGAGAAGAGGACAGAGGAGTCTGCGCTGGATCGGAGACCGGGACCAGCGCCGCAGGGAAAGCTGAATAGGACTGGAAAGAAGAAGAAGATCGGATTAAGAGACATAATTTAAGGTAAGTCCTTACTTTAGCACTGGGGGGTGGGGGAGGGACTTTAGCCATCTATGTCACTTTAAGCACTTGCAGGCCTAAAACAGGTACAGGGGTTACAAAATGAATGACATTCATGACATTATGTAGTAAGATTTGAAAAAAAAAACACAACATTTTTGCAACTGTACAAATATTGTGATATTTGGCATTTTTGTTCACATTTACCAAGAGCTTAAACTGTAACAAATGTAGGGCTGTATCAGGTCATCGGGTTTAAATGTTGTATTCATGTTTTTCAGGAAATATATCAACTCCATTTTATGGTTTATCATCTTGGTCACAACGTTTCAGTCTAAAGTCTCTCCTATGACAGCAGTGGGAATTGGGGCTGCGCCATGAAAATGGGGATTTCTTACAATGTGTCTGTTTTTTTTTTTACTTTAAAAAGTATTTTCTGTTGCCAAGTAAAAAAAGAAGAAAGCAATGCTGCATTGGTTACATGTAGACAGTCATATATTTGTATGTTGCTTTCTGCCACTTGAGCGTGAAAGTAAAAATAGCATTTTTGTTGTCATTTATCAGCTTTTACTTTGTGCCCTAATGCCAAGAGACTAAAGGCACTGGCTAGAACCAGTACCAGGCGCAATGCACTTGTAGACCACTGACGTCGAGCGAAAGACACCTTGTAAAACTTTGCAGCTTAAAGTGACACTAAACTCAAGAGTTAAAAATGAATAAACGTACCCTAAATATTAGGGGTGGCTACTTTTGTTCCCCATGGTCACTGTGTGTGTTGCAACGTAGCCACTGCTCCACGCTCACTCCTGTGATAGGCTACAATCATAATACAAATTAGTAAATTAAACGTGAAATTTTGGTCCATCACGGGAGTGAATTTGGAGCAGTAGCTACTTTACAACACACAAAAATGATCACTTAAAAGCTTGCTGGACACAAAGTAGCATGATTTTTTTGAGGAAAGATAATGTCAGACTAATCTGAATTCATTTTTCATTATGCCACAAATGTTTTTGGACCAAGGAGGTGCAGTGGACATAGGCTTCATTGCAGCAACGCATCTGATCTGAAGTTCCTCTCATTGTTTCAGTTTTTCCCCAAAGTACAAAAACCTACTGGTATCTTATTTGCATGCATCCAAATTAGCTACTACACAGTATATACTATGCTATTTCTAATGAATACATAACTGCATTAAACAGTGTTTTTTTTATCTGCCTGCATTTCATCCTAAAGCTCCATCCATAGGAGGCTTTAGGCTGCAACTGGGGATTCATGCAGTAAGAACCAATGGATTCTTGTGGCAGGGACCCCAGGTGTGTCTATACGGATGCGGCCGCTGTGCCAGTTAAATTAAATGACAGGCTGACAGCAGCTGCACCTGTGAGTACCTGATTGTACAGAAAACAATTATCGTCCAAGAATAATCATCTATCCCGAACTGTAGGTAATTGATCCATGTACAATTACATGCAGTCGCTGTCAGCCTGTCATTCACATAAACGGCAACAGCAGCCACATCTGTATGTAGCGTTTGATCTTTACATCAGTAGCTCCTGCCCCTCAGATTCCACAGTTCCCCCTTCACATCATAGTTCTACCATCACATCAGGACCTGCAGTTGTGGTAGCATGGCAGAGTGTGGGAAGCAGAGCAGGCCTGGATGAATGCAATCTTCTGTCCTTTTCTCAATGGATCCCACTCTCCCTGTATTACCATAATTTGTTTCCATGGTGCTGGTAGCAAGCCTGCCTGAAACATGGAAAGGCATGACGCTGTCAAACTTTCGAGGCAACCCTGAGGAAGCCAGAAGATACTCCAGGGTGCCAAGGCACACTGGTTAAGATAGGCTGATTTAGAGACATATATACTTTACCATATGCTTAACCATCTTGCCCTGACTGGTATGCTAACTGTAATGTCCTCCATATATTGTAAAGCACTACACAAACTCTTGGCACTATATAAATCCTGAATAATAATAATATTAATAACAACAATATAATACTTTGCCTTGTGTTTAACTTTGTAGCTACCTATTTGAGAATATGACTATGCTATACAACAGCCAGAAACAGCAATATGACCCTGAGATAAGCCAAAGTAATGTAAGGATCTGGGTTAGATGCTTTTGATCAAAACCTGACAAAACTCAAGTACAAACTTATACATTCTTATAAAGTATAAATGCATTCAAATGTGTGCATGTTCCATGGAATGTGCTTTTCTAATGCATTTCATAGCATATTTCTGTAGTTAGAAAAAAAAAAAAGTACACAGAAAACACATACATTTAATAGACTCAAAGCTGATGCCTTCTTTCACTTATGAATAACAAAACAGGCCCGAGTCTCTTTAGAAACATTTTATTTAGATTTGCTAATTAAAATTATGGCCAATAAAAATGAGCGAAAAGAGAGAAACATTTGCATTTCTCTTCTTTAATACCCTAAGGGGGGAAATTAAAAAGTCACACTTTTTAAGATGGATTTGGATAGCGTGAACTTGCGACATTAAGGTACACAAACCCATAAATGCGTCCATCAAATGCCGCCTGCTGGGCACCAATTAGGTTTTATTGTTTCATTCACACGTCTGCTGTTTTGTGCATAATATTTCTGGGTCAATTAACCATCAAATCAAAGGTTTTCAGACACTTTACATTCTCTGCACTGGGCCTCTAAAACACTTGAAATATTTATTTCTTTGGAGCCCCACTTAACCCAATGTACTCCTTGTTTATTCCAGATTAAACAGTCAACCTACATGACTTCTTTTCTCTGGAATGCTTTCATTTCAGGTACACACAACTATATTATTATACTAATACTAGTATTAAAAAGTATGAGTCTTCTAGAATTAATGGTCCTCAATCTTAATAGCTCCTATTTAGTGTCCTGGCACACAACCTCCTGGAATCTGGGGGGTAGCACTGTGGCTACAAGATTTCAGCACTCTAGCCCTGCATCTTGAAAGTCCATGTAAAGACATTATCTACACAAAAGTACTATGTTCTTCTTGGGTTTCTTTTCAATTTTCTTTTAAAGTACAATAAACTATTAGCTGATATTGCATCTGCGTGCACCCAAATAAGCCCTACTGTGTGAGCAGGTGTGTATTGCTGTGGTTGGGATATTACATTTTAAAGATCCCTGTGGAGGCAAAAATTGATGTGAATGGTTGTCTGTTCTGCAGAAAACACTGTGTTAAGTGTCAGCACTATGACAATGAAAACAAAGACACATCAGTTCACTATGCTCTCTCTTTCTTACACTTCCACCTCTTCTATTGTCAAAAGAATCTTCAGACTCACTTCCAGGAGTGTAGAATGTGCCTGTGTCCCTCATCAGGTGCTCTTTTTGCTAACCCCAATTTTAAAAAAGGGCACAGTTTTGGAATAAGAGTGTGTGGTGGGGACGCGGGCATCAGAAACACTTAGAAGTGCATGAAGATTTTTCAGGCATCAGGTGTCCATTCTGACTTCCTTTTGAAAAAATAGCTGCCAAGATGTCCTGCTAATCCAATGAATTTAATTATCCGAGTCATAAACTTAGAACAAATACGCAATCAGGAGATCTGACATTCTGAAAGCCTGGAATGTAGCATTTTCAGAAAGAGGTCAGCCATTGTATATCTCTGGCCACATGGTCCATTTAATGTACCTCCTATCTCAGCGAAAGTTTATCAATGGCATGCTGTCAACAGAATATCTATATCAACAATACACCTCTGTGGCTAACAATACAAAATCACTTTCTTGCAGTAGATGTTGTGCAAGGATGTTGACTGTGCTGTCTGAAACAGAGATAACCACTGGCGTGCACATGTAAAAAATCTGAATGGAATAATATAATGAATTCCAAAATGCCAAGCAATGCAGAGCAATACTGTGCAATTATTGTGTCTTAGTGAGTTATCTTTAAAAGAAAAAGGCAACGTACCTGTAGTTGGGAAGACTTCATTGAGCAGTACTTCATTCAGACCTGAAGACCCAGAACTGTTTGTACTGAAAGACCAACTATGACTGATCAACTCAAGAAGAAGAGTTTGAGCTCTTGTGGCTTGAACGGTCAGACTCGGAAGTTCAAAGATGTATTCTGTGACTGGAACATGGGTGCGCTTTGTCCTGCAGAGGAGAAAAAGATATATGCACATTTGTAAAAAATAATATATATTTACAATGGTTTCTATTGGTTATTTTGTTCTGCCTTCAGACATTTCTGATGCTTGGGGGCTAGTTCACACCAGAACTGCGTGCGTCTGCACAGCTGCAATGTGATGCGTTTGCTGCTTTTTTACAGCGATTGATGCATTTTTTTGCTTAAAATGGGATTTCAGGTGCGTTCCAATGCATTTGCATGCGATTCTGATGCGTTCCGAATCGGACCGGACTGCACTAGTGTGAATAGACCACCAGAAATCCCATAGGAAAGCATTGTGATATATTTTGGCTGCAGCAGCCAAACTGAAGGGACTGCATCACAACTGCCCTTATACTGCAGAGCTATCCATATCTATCCACTCAGCTGGGATGTAAGGAAGAGAGACAACTAAGAGTTGGCCTGGACTGTCCATTGGTATGCCAGATTTTTAATGCAATAATTCTTATCCAGCCACTAGGGATGCACCGATACCGTTTTTTCGGTATCCAGTACTGATATTTATATTTTGGTACTCGCTGATATCGAGTACCAATACCGGTACATCCGCTAGCTTGTAGCAGGCTTCCTGGGCAATCAGAAAGCCGGGCAGCGTGTCATTACCCACCGCCCAACCTTTCGGATTGCCCGGGTAGCCTGCTTCATGCTGTTTGGCTGGCTGGATGCTGATAGCCCGGGCAGCCGACTTACCAGCCAATAAGCACCAAGCAGGCTCGATGTTGATTGGACAGGAAAGCAGCTTCCCAGCCAATCAGCGTGGAGTTGGCTTCCCGGCCAATCAGGAAGTCGGGAGGCGGGTCATTACATGTAGCCCGACTTCCAGATTGGCCAGGAAGCAGGCTCCATGCTGTTTGGCCGGATCTATGCTGATTGGCCAGGAAGCCGGCTCCATGCTGTTTGGCCGGCTGTACGCTGGTTGGACAGGAAGGCGGCTTCCCGTCCAATCAGCATCGAGCTTGCTTCCCGGACAATCATGAACCCGGGAGTCGGGTTATTACTCGCCACCCGGCTTCCAGATTGGCCGGGAAGCCAGCTCCAAGCTGGTTGGCCAGATCGATGCTGATTGGCCAGGAGGAGGCTGCAGGTATGAAGAGCGGACTGAATGGTGCATCTTAATGACAGGTAAAGTAACAGCAAAGTTTGCCCATCCTTTATTTCCGCCTTTACATTGCTATTAGCTACCCATCATAGTGTAGGGCCAACAGAAATGTCCAGCGGAGCGGATTAGAGCCCTTGCCTGTCAGAACATCTGGCATTGCACTGCACCTAATTAACCATGTAATCTTGTCCACTCCCCACCATGACAATGTTTCTATGGGTGACAATGCACATAAGAACGGACAGTTGTACTTGAAGAAAGGGTCAAAAGGAGGAAGTAAATTTCTGTTGAAATTGGAAATCCCTGTTAAACCGTCTTCTCTTTGGGTGAACTCTTAACATACAAGTGTTAAATGCTGCTACTCTGTCCAGCCAGCAACTGCTCTTCAGAGGCGCACTGTGTCCTAATAACAACCTCATCTCCTATTATGTCACAAGTCTGAATTTATCACTCCATCAATAAAAGGCAGACTGAAGGAAGCCTGTGTGTGACCCCATGGTTCAAGTCCCAACACCATCACTTCAATAATTATAACTAAAACGTTTTCTTCACGCTGGAATTCTTGGCATACATTTGTGAAAAGGACTGAATTTCCTCCACAGGGAGAAAAACATCTGTAAACTTCATACTAAGCTATACACCATATCACTTAGATTTACTACAAGGCAGCGGTCAGGAGGAATAAGCATCATTTTCTGGCATTCTGTGCAGATGTCATGCAAAGACACAATACTGAATTTTGTCCAGGCCATCAATAACTCTGACACACTTTTTCTTTTTTTTTAAACAAAAATATGTCCCAAGACTATTATAGAACTGTTTTGACATGAGAGATACCATACCACCCTATAACCTTTTTATGGAGATACCATGCCACCTTAACTGATCTAGGGGTCAAAAACAATAACTATCAAACCAAGATAATATAGGAAGGTAAAGGACATACCAGCTTACTCGAAAAAGAGCGCAATCAAAAAATAACTAAATAGGATCACAAAGTGGAACTACAGCCAAAACTTATTTAAATGTTTTATTAGTAGTGAAAAAGTTGGTAGAATACCATCTCTGGCAGCTTTACTGCTGCCTGTGTCTCTAAAAAACACCAGTCCCAGTAACATGTGTTAAAGGTAGGTGCTCCCCAACAAGGACACAGACCTCAATAAAAACCTGATGGTGGATCAAACCCTTGTACATGGTCAACAACAAAACAAACAAAGGGTTATGAAGAAGGTTGTGGTTGAAATAACAAATCTCAACCTTTAAATTACATTTCAGGGCAAATCCAAGCAGTATGACAATGTTTAGAGGATGCCCATTATGTTAAGAGTGGGATAGGTACCTCCTGCAGTAAGTGTCAATTTTACTCAGATACTAATTAAGACTGCATACAGTTAAAAGGGATGCAGATGATGCTCCTTTTCTTAGTATAACCATGAGATGACTTATGGAGGTGCTAGGAGGCCATTCCACTTAGTTTTAGAAAATACATGTTCAGGCTAACACAGCAATAAAGGCATTAACTTGCCAAATAGCTTGCTAACAAGTTTCCAAAGTATAGAGTATATACACAATGGTATATGTTTATACCAATGGGGTGGTCATGCAGCACTGTGTGGTCTGGTGGCATTTCCCTGATCACGTTTTCGCCACCTGGTGGGGCAGCACTGGTACGTTACATACTTTTTATGATGAACTGAATGCATGCATTCCAGAAATTTAGTTCAATATGATGTTGGATTCATTGCAGGTGAGATAATTTGACACCAGGGTGTATATTGAAGCAGGATGTTTACAGAAGGACGTTTCCACAAAACCAAGTGGTAAGAATCAATTGTTACGTTATGACAGTTCGCAACCACCACATGTTTTCAGATCGGTAGCCAGGACTCATTTAGGGTGATCAGAATTGTGAGTGAGAGGACTAGACACAGCTTGAAGGGTCAGAAGAGATAGCAGAGAAACTAGGTGAGAGAAGATATTAAAGCCTTTGACGGAATGAGTTTGAGCATGTAAAAAACAAATAAAAAATAAAAATCAATAAGTGCAAGGAGGAAGAACACAGGAGAAAAGGTTTCTTTGTTATTAAAAAAAACACTAGCATATTCTTTACAGGACATATCTGGAGATTACGGAGTTATAATATATTCCTTTACAAGCATTTCGTAGAAATCGCACTATAGGCGATAGGTTGGGGAGATCTGAATATAGAGCCCTGGAACCTGCTGCTACATTCTTCGATCCTAAACGATGTGGCTCCTACCTATGTTTGAAGTTTGAGTTCAGTTAAAAAGGTAAGGAATTTATCCATCCGTATACTTGAATGGCTTACGCAATTAACAAAAACTCTATACATGCCAATCAAGTTATGTGATATATACTCTAGTTCGTCCATGAAAAATCAAGAAACTCATTGCACAACATCAGCATACAATTCGCAAAGCGCAAGGATTGTTACCACTGCCTAAACATTTTGCGGAACAGGGTCATGTGGAAATGGATCTGTGATTTAAGGTACTGGACAATGTACCACAGAGTAGATGAAGTGGTGATAGAACTTTGAATCTTATGAATTTAGAGGTTTGGTGGATTGATAAACTACATAGTTTTTTTTTTTACAGGTTCCTCGATAAGCTTTGACAATGCCGATGTAAGATTTACTTTTCTGGGCTATTAAGGGGATGTTGCATTTTGACAGGTGTGGTATGAAGGGCATTAATAAATATATCTGTCTGTGATTGTTTTAACTGAATTTTGGTGGGGCCAGTGTCGATGTAATATGGAATCTGATGAGGTATTTCCTGTTGTGGATACATTTAAACTTCTTGTGATTGCTTTGTCATTTACCATGAACATGACGAAGGACAGGGATGCCCAAAACTGTCTTCACCTGAAAACGCTTATACCCTGGCTGTTATACTGAACCAGTGGCCTCAATGCTTTAAGTAACTGCCTAGAAGAAGCATTTCTGACCTTGCTTACATTTTCTAAACTGCTTGATCCAACTCGGAAAGGCATTCAAGATACAGACCACCACGCATCTGTGTGTGTCCTTATCAGATTTTATGTATTTATTGTTTTAAAGGTTAACAGAAGACGAGATGAAAAAATTCCAGTGCACCAAACTGCTGCAATATTAAAGGAGAACTATGGGGTCAGTGTTTTTCCCCATAGTTCTCCTTAGGGTAACGGGAGGACACAAAATAGTGTCCTCCCGTTACCCTAAGCTCAGTATACCGCAAGCTACAGCTCGCGGTATACTGAGACGCAGCACCTGGAGCGGATCCCGACGTAGATGACGGGATCCGCCCAGCTGCGTGAGTGACAGCTGGCTCTGCCTACCTAGAGGCAGAGCCAGCTGTACCCGCCCCCTCCCCGTCAGAGAGCCGTGACAGGATCGAGAGGTGAGGGAACCCGGTATGTGTTCCCTCACCTCCCGATCTACTGAGCCGACCTGTGACAGTCTCATTGTCACAGGTCGGCTTAGAACTATGAGGTTCTAAGCCGACCTCCTTTAAGGCCTGACACACTTCTCACGGCTCTGTGTATGTTTTTAGTAGAGCGAAGAAAGTAACTTACTTTACAGCTGATCCAAACTACACAAAGGTAATTTGTGGTGTGAAACACTGGCTAGTATATCAAACCAAAAGACCTACTTAAACCAAAAACAAACATTAAATATGCCTCCCAAAAGGTCAATCAACCAAATAGAGATAATTAAAAACTGTAAAAATTTATGAAAATCCAAAATCAAATATTTTCTTATAGAGGATTTAAATAATCTCTGAGGAAATAAAGCAGCGAAGACTTCTGTTTTCTTTTTCTGTTCCTATAAAATAAGCAAAGGCACGTACCACATTAGAAGCCATA